CTCCTGGCTGTACGGTGGAAGGCAGGATGTTCTCGCCAGCCGACAGTGACACAAAAAACGCGAATGGGATTATCCACAGACAGAATGTAAAATAGGCCAGGACCTGGCAACGAGAGAGACTGAGGAGAGGCCGCCACGGGAGGCTGACAGGCTGCTTCCGGTGCAGTGGCCAAGTCTCAAACCGGTCAGAGCACGTGGCAGGCCCCACATCTGGCCGCAGAGGGGCCCGGGGCCAGGAGGCAGGGATCAGGACACCCTCGACATGAGACTTCAGCAGACAGATGGAAGCTGAGATGGCCAAGTGAGACCACTGCCCTTAAGTCTGGGTGATGAGGACAACTCTGAACTGAAGGAGGGATACAGAGAGCAGAGCCATGACCGACCCATGTCCCCAAGGCAATGACCCCGCTCTTCTCAGAGAGACCGGAAGCAGCAGGCCATGGAGAAAACCTCACCAGGTCACCGGGAGGAGCTCAGGTCGGAAGGCCACCCCTGCCCTGTGAGGCCCCCTCAGTACCCTTCCATGCAGCAGGACATTAGGAGGGGACCCAGAGGACCCCCCCGGAGGAGAGTATACCCTCCCCGCCTCCTGTGCTTCAACCACCCTGCTTTCTAGAATCATCTATGCTCTCATCAATCATGTAATTCCTGAACAGACACAGATTTTAAATGTCACTGAAATTCAGAGTAAACTGTGCACACCCTCTAATACACCTCATCTTGCCTCATCTTGCTGAAAATGGTTTGATTTCCTGAACACTTCTTACCTCTGAAAAAGGGTAATACTGTTCTGCGAAAAACTGAAATGCAAGGTAATGATTCACCACCACCAGCCCTGTGAAGAGAAGGGAGGCGCTCATGTTGGGGAACACCATGAAGCTGCACTCTGACCCTCTGGAAGGGGGAACGGGCAGTCCCCAGGCTCGGGCCTGACTTTACACCCAACTCTCGGGGTGACGCTGGGCTGAGCACACCACCCTCCAGAGGGCAAGCCCATCAGTCTAGGTGGCCACCACAGTGGACACTTGGGGGGGACATGAGAAGTAAGAAAACGCTTGAAATGTTGTAAAACTGAGACCCTAGTGTTCCACAATCTAAGCATCGAGGTGATTAACCGGGTTTCGGTGATGCATGAGCAACTCCATGCAGTGGGAGAGGGACCGAGGGGTGGGGGTCAGGGCCCCCAGCAGAGTCACTGCAAACCTGGCAGCAGAGGTGCCCAGCCTCAGTGAGAAGGACACTCTGGACTCTTGGGGTTCCTCAGAAGTCTGAGGGAGGTGCCCCTCCACCCTCTGCCCCAGGGAAAGGTGCCCTAATCTGGCCTGTCCTGGACACCCAGCAAGTTGCAGTGCAGATGCATGGCGGGGTGCCTGGGGAGACTGGCCGCTCAGCCACAGCTGACACCATGTGTCCCTGTGGTGAGGGGAGGGCGGGCACCAGAAGAGGTTGACCCTCGCCACCTGCACACGGCTGGCACGCCTCCCAGCACCT